TGTTTTGTACATTCCATTTGCGCCTGTGTCTTTTGCAGCTTCTCGTACATAACGTTGTGTAGTCATGAGGTGCTAGTTCAAATTTAAAAAGTGCTTCTACAAAAAAAAGTTTCATCTGCAGATATGACCTTGTTTGGGGATCTGTGCCTTTGTGCATACGGACATCTGACTGCTGAGTAGTGATTGTGTTTTTCAGCAATAGTGTGCACCCTTCATTTACAGAGAAAAGAAGGTCCGGGAAAAATCTGTAGATGCAAAAATCTCCATACAAGTTCTTTGTGCACTTTTCTTTTTTCTACTTTGCACTTTTTGTTAGAAAATGTTTATTTACTATTTATTCAAGTTTTTTAAGGTATCTAATATTTTGATACTTAATTTCCGTGTTCTGAATATAGTTTGTTGTCATTTGAAAGTGTGTATAGGCCTTCTTGCATTATTATGTTTGTTATATTATGATTATATGTGACCTTGGACCACAAAACCAGTCATAAAGGTCAATGTTTTGAAATTGAGATTAAATGAATAAATAATCTTTCCACTAATGTGTGGTTTGTTAGGATAGGACAATATTTGGTTGATATACAACTATTTGAAAATCTGGAATCTGAGGGTGCAAAAAAATCTAAATATTGAGAAAATCATCTTTAAAGTTGTCCAAATGAAGTTCTTAGCAATGCATATTACTAATCAAAAATTAAGTTTTGATATATTTACGGTAGGAAATTTACAATGGAACATGATCTTAATATTCTAATGATTTTTGGCATAAAAGAAAAATTGATAATTTTGACCCATACAATGTATTGTTGGCTATTGCTACAAATATACCTGTGCTGCTTATGACTGCTTTTGTGCTGCAGGGACACATATATTCAGTGGCCTAAAATGGTCTTAAAATGACAATAATATCGCTTATCGCAATTATTTCTGGGGCACTATATCGCACAACAAAAAAGTTGTTAACGTGACAGTCCTAGCCATATGTTTACATTTGCACGTGATCACTGAACCCCAAACCTGCTGATGGTGGTGCATGCTGAGTTATGCATGTGTAGCTGTGAAGCTCACGGATGTCTCTGTCCCGTGTCTCAGGAGGCTGGTTTGGGTGGGTTTCCCCACAGCGGCTCCGCAGGAGTGAAGCTGGAGCAAATGATGGAGCATCTTCAGCGGCAGCAGCAGGCGCGTCTGGAGATGGAGCACAAGGAGCGCAGGCTGCGTGAAGCTCACATCATGTACGCGCAGCAGCTCGCGGCTCAGCAGGCCGTTCTGGCCGCCGCTCGGGCTTCAGGAGCCGGGTTCATGAGCAGGGGCCTCGGCGCTTCTGGGGCCGGACATCCATCCCGTGTCTCCAATCAAAGCAGTTTGGACTCCGAACGCGACCGGGACTCGGATGATGATGATGGGATGATGGAGGGTGATGAAGGTAGCGAGGAAGATGAGCGGCCCTTCGGGAGCTTCTCGGGCCCCGGGGCCGCCGCAGATGCGCAGAGAGCTCCGTCACCCGGCGTCAGGGTCAAACAGGAGCCCGAGGACGATCTCTCACCCGTCGGGCGACCGTCTGTGTCTTCTCCTAATGGCCAAGCGTACTGGAGCTACGAGGATCACTTTAGAGCGGTAAGAGAGCTTGTGTTATCTTGTGCTTTCTCCCTTACTGTTGTATTTTTGACTTGTGTTTCAGGATAAGTATGTGACCCTGCAGCACAAAAGCAGTCATAAGCAGCACAGGTATATTTGTAGCAATAGCCAACAATACATTGTATGGGTCAAAATTATACATTTTTGTTTTATGCCAAAAATCATTAGAATATTAAGATCATGTTCCATGAAGATATTTTGTAAGTTTCCTACCGTAAATATATCAAAACTTAATTTTTGATTAGTAATATGCATTGCTAAGAACTTCATTTGGACAACTTTAAAGATGATTTTCTCAATATTTAGATTTTTTTGCACCCTCAGATTCCAGATTTTCAAATAGTTGTATCTCAGCCAAATATTGTCCTATCCTAACAAACCACACACCAATGGAAGCTTATTTATTCAACTTTCAGATGATGTATAAATCTCAATTTAAAAAAATTTACTGGTTTTGTGCTGCAGGGTCACAGATGTAAACATTCTTAAATCAAGATACATTTACTGGAGAAGCAAAATGACAAGATATGAAGTCTTCTTTAATGACGTGTATCAAAATGAAGTGAGTTTATAATTAAATCAAGAAAAATAAAACAAGAAAAATAAACTTAATTCAAAGGGAAAAACAAGTTTATTTTTCCGACCCCATAGGCAGTTTTTTTTTTGTATTATGCAAAAACTCATTTTCATTTGCATATAGTAAGAAAAAGTATCAAAATGAAGTGAGTCTATACTTAAAACAAGAAAAATAAGAGAGGAAAAATTTACTTAATTCAAAAAGATAAACAAGATTGTTTTTCTGACCTCATTTTCAGATATTTTTATCTTGTTTTAAGCAAAAACTCACTTACTTTTCATATATTTAAAAAAAAAAGTAGAGTTTATCCTTAAAACAAGGAAAATTAGAAGAAGTAAAAAACTTAATTCAAAGGGAAAACAAAGATATTAAAAGATATTTTTTATGTTTTAAGCAAAAACTTACTTCATTTTCACGTAATTTTCACATCTTGTTTTCTGCAAGAAAGAAATCTATCAAATTGAAGTGAGTTTAAAACAAGAAAATATCTGTCAATTTTAAGCATGAACTCACTTTATTTCTATCCTTTTTTTTTTCTTCAGAAAATCAGACTTAATATTTTAAGTCATTTTGCTTCTAAAGCTTGTTTTCTGAAAAATATACCAAAATGAAGTGAGTTTGGGGTCAGAAAAATAATCTTGTTTCCCTTTGAATATTAGTTTACTGACTGATATTATTTCTTGTTTTGAGCTTAAACTCATTTTAATGCATTTCAGTCATTGCGCATCTAAAGTAAAAGTATGTGCATCTTAAAAATATTTATAGATACTTGAACCAGAAAACAAGACAAAAATACTCCGTACGAACATGACCTTTTGCAAGACATTCTGAAGCATTTGCATGTTTGTTAAATACAACATTGTTCAAATTAAATCTGAACTATTATCAATAGTAAATTAAACAGAAATGTTCTGCCACCTGTTCAAGTGAGAGAAGTTGAAGCTTTTGTAACATTTCCAACTTGACATGGATGCTTTCACTAGTTTGAAACTCCAAATTCCATTCATTCTGACACAATGCGAATCCATTATTCTTATTCAAAAGCAGGCAGACTTGTTCATGTATTTGTTTAGGAAGCTGGGCATGCTTTGATGGGTCAGTCGGTGGTCTGCAGGTTTCTGTGTGTGTTTGTGTTGGTTTGAGCTCCTCAGGAGAAACATCTGCTTCGTTCTGCTCTCCGCGTGAGTTCTGGCTCAGAGCCGGACACTTATTTGCTCTCTTAGGCTCCTGCCAAACGCTGAATCGACTTTGGCAAGCGTCCAGGCCGTGCAAAGAGACATTTGGCCCAAATTTGTCAGCGAACGCGTGGGAGTGTTTGTGCATGTGTGTGTGGCGCGCTGTACAGTAGCTGCATGGTGGAAATTTATTGATTTTGAAGGGAATGCTGCGTTATGAACGTCATCATCTGACATGCAGCTGAATCTTAAACCTGAACTTCTAATGCAATGCATTCTTCAAATGCATAAAAAACTATGTAGAAATGTAAAAACAACAAAAATGAATGGCAGAAATACAATAAAACTGCTCAAACTTTAAGTAAAATTAACACAAAAGCAGAAAATAAAAATATTGAATTTAAATCAAAGCATTAACAAATCTGTAATAGTATCTCAATTATATTAAAATATTAAAACACTTTAGTTTAATCATATTTTGTCACCCTAATCAGTGAAATTTAAAAGC